GCCATACACACGAGTTTGCATACACAATTATATCAGCAATCTCAGTCTTATCTGCAAACCGTGGCATGTTCCTGGCTTAAACCCAAGAACGTATGCAGATTGTGGCTGATAGAGAGAAAAAATATATATTTTTGTCGCTTCAAAGGATGACTTTTGAATCTTGTTTCTGATTTCACTCTGTTTTTTAAAGTTATGATACCTTGAAGATTTCAAACTAGCATTTAAGAAAAAATGCACAAGTTACATTTCCTGTAACATGCAATTATTATTATTATTTTTTTGATTTTTAATCTGATTTTTGTTAAAGAGAAAACAGTTTTTGTAATTGCGCTGTTATTTTTGGGGTTATTTTGTATTCACTGTATTTCTTTAATGATAATAAAACAACTCAACTGGAGTCGAGTGTAAAATATGCTTTTAACATTTTTTTAAACTATCTTTTACTTTTTATAAATCTTTGTGCAATTCCAGAGAAGTATAAAAAAGGTTCCTCCTACTTTAAATGTTTTATTTCTTAACCAAGTTTTATCAAAGTTTACTTTTCTGACAACAAACAGCTGATGATAGAGTAACAAGAATCAGTGTAAAACCTCTCAGATGGAGCAAAACACCTGGGAAAAGGGGGGTTTGTTGTTGCATGTGCGCGTGTGAGAACATGCCGTAACTTGACTTTAGGCTGGACCCTGACCTTGGTGACAGCAACGCGAAACTAGTTTGACTTCAGCGAAGAGTTCACGTTCATTGTCTCAGAGCCGTCCAGTGACAAGTCAATTTGATTACATTCACTTTCTCATCTAGTTTAAGAGCGATAGTAGTTTCACATGTCCTCCTTCAGATGCAAGCCTGTAGCTTTTAGCCTTGCTAAGTGAATCATCAGTGGCACTATCAAATTACTCTCAACAGAGACCAAAGGTTACTCAAAGGCCTTTTAGTCATCCACGCTGGCATGCCAGCTAATTTACAGCAGACTCATTAGACCAGCATTAAACACAATTTCCTGCCGACAAATTTCATTTGGCAGAAAAATCATTACCATGGCAATAATAAACAAGCTTATATAGTAGTGGCTAATGGCAATTTGAGTAACCTAATGTTATTAGAAACCCCCAGAAATAGCAGCAGTGACTTTAACAGCTATGAGCAAAGTTCTGTTTAAGAGACATGTTGACATGATGTGTGTTAATACAACTTTGGAGTACTTATTTCTTTCTTTTTTATTTTTTGTTGTTTTTTTTTTGTTTTGTTTTTGTTGTTGTTCTTAAGCTTTATCTTGGGCCTGGACACTGACAGTGGAAATATAATGTTTCATAACTGTCAGTGTGCAGGGTTCTGTGTAGCCCGGGGTTACTGTGCTGAACAATAAACCATAATTTGATAGATGAGAAATTACAGCGGTCCATCTACTGTGCAGGGCCCTCACCCCGGGCAACGCAATACAGCTTCGGATGATGTGTCACATTTCTCTGACAAAAGAAGAAAAATGAAATTATGCCTTTTATGCTTTGTTAATAACGTCTTCCTGTGTTTTGAAGGTAGCATCTTTGTTTGTTTTATGTAAATATTCCAACAGGATAGATAAATGTGAGTTGTCTAATTGGTTCTGCAGATTATTGATGGGCCCCCATCCTTTAAAGCACCTTACATGACAGCATGAGACATGCTGGTGGGAATAATTGTTTGCAGTTCATGTGGTGCATATATTGGTAGGAACTACAATGATTCATATTTAACAGCCACTAAACACATACCCCCTCCTCTCTCCTCCACGTGGAGATGCACTGTTGATTGGAGATGCATCATAGACCATACATCATCTGCAGCTAGTCACCCTCGGTAAGCCGACGCTTTTACCATTAGCAAATATACATCTCTTGGAGTGTCGCATGGGTTTGCAGAGGAGCAGGTTGAAAATTATGTGTTTTCTGTAACATTGTGGCTGAGAACTACTCAGACCAACCATTAGTACCCCCTGGAGCATGCTCCAGTGCTGTATCATTTGTGTCGAGCATACAGGGCTGATTTGACTTGGTCCCATAGTGAGTGACTGACAGTTATGCAAACATAATAGTTGTGATCCTCTCAAAGTGCCCGAGTGTAAATTAGTGGGCAGCGCTAATAGCACGCGTAAGATGGAATGTTTTAAGTGCTGGTATTAAAGTGGAAATGTGCTGCAGAATGCTCGGGCAGTTTGTGGGGCGATGAGCAGCTATTTATCTCCCCTGTTGGGTAAATTGTTTCAGTCTGATTTCACCACTAGGGTCACTGTGAGGCTTGCGTTAACTTGCATGGTGAACAAATCTCACAAGGTAGAAATCCATTCAAA